CCCCCCCCCGCCCCCCGGGGCCGCGCACGTGCCGCCGGCCATGATTCATGGCCGGCGACAACGTGCGCGGCCCCGGGGGGGAGGGGGCCGGGGCGTATTGAGATCAGAAGAGGCACCATGAGATCTGGGGAGATATCCTGGCCCCCGTCATGATATCCACACACCCCTAGTCATCACCCCCCCTTCTTGCCGCCCCCGATGCTTCGTCCCAAGAAACTGATTCTTCATCTCCGGCAGTGGTCGTTACCCCAGGGAAGGGGGGGTACGGTAGCGCTCGGGCGGGATAGCACCAGCATATGGAGGGGGCGTCCAGCCTTACGTCGGGCACGTCCCTCTACAGGAGAAATCTTTCAATATAGCCCAAAAAATAATATGGGGACGGTTGCTCTACCATGCTTGGCAATTTTTTGCATTTCTGATAATTCCCAACCATCATGTGGAGTTCGGTCCTCGTCTTGGCGACACAGCGCCCCGCGTTCTCCCATCCTTCCTCCTCCTCTCCCCCTCCTCCTCCTCCTCCTCCTCCTCCCCCTCCTCCTCCTTCTCCTCCTCCTCCTCCTCCTCCTCCTTCTCTGCCTCCTCCTCCTCCTCCTCCTCCTCCTCCTCCTCCTCCCTGCTCCCCTCCCTGCCTCTGCTCTCCGCATGCACATCCCATGTCGGCACACCCCTCATACGTTTCGAGGCCCCATGGGGAGCTCCACCGAAGGCCCCAGTGGGAAAGTTCGCATGGCGCCCCCGCCCCATTTCGGCACACCCCTCACACGCTTCGTGGCCCCATAGGCAGCCCCACCTACGGCCCCAGTGGGAAAGTTCGCATGGCACCGCCGCCCCATTTCGGCACACTCCTCAAACGCTTCGTGGCCCCATAGGGAGCTCAACCGAAGGCCCCAGTGGGAAAGTTCGCATGGCACCGCCGCCCCATTTCGGCACACCCCTCACACGTTTCGTGGCCCCATAGGGAGCTCCGTCGAAGGCCCCACTGGGAAAGTTCGCATGGCACCGCCGCACCATTTCGGCACACCCCTCACACGTTTCGTGGCCCCATAGGGAGCTACACCGCAGGCCCCAGTATAAAAGTTCGCATGACACCGCCGCCCAATTCCGGCACACCCCTCACACGTTGCGTGGCCCCACGGGGAGCTCCACCGAAAGCCCCAGTGGGAAAGTTCGTATGGCACCGCCGCCCCATTCCCCTCACAAGTTTCGTGGCCCAACCACAGGGTGCTCCGCCGAAGGCCCCTGTGGGCAAATTCGCATGGCACCGCCGCCCAATTCCGGCACACCTCTCACACGTTTCGTGGTCCCGAGGCACCGCCGCCCATTTCGGCACACCCCTCAAACGTTTCGTAGTCCCATACGGAGCTCCACCTAAGGCCCCAGTGGGAAAATCCGCATGACACCGCCGCCCAATTTCGGCACACCCCTCACACGTTTCGTGGCCCCATAAGGAGCTCCACGGAAGGCCCCAATGGCGACGTTCGCAGGCGCCCTCACGACTCATGTTGGCACACCCCTCACACGCTTCATGGCAGAAGGCTATACTGCGTGCGCTATTCGGAGTTTGTACGTCCCACTCATTCGTTTCATCTCCCTCGCGGCGCTCGCAATATGGCTGGATCCTTGTCGGGCTATTTCTCCGGCTCAAATCCGCCTGTAGAGGGACATGCCCGACCTAAGTCCAGCCCCCCCCCAACGTATGATCGTCACCATTACCCATTACCCGTGAGCGGGGGAGGAAAAAAACAATCTCCCCTGAGATGCGACGTTGAACAAATGCACCATCGCGCAAATTAGCCTGGCGAAGGACCCAACCATATGCAATTGTGAATACCGCGATTGTGGATCTCATCTTCGCTCGCGCTCCCTATGGGGCCACGAACCGTGTGAGGGGGCGTGCCGAAATGCGCGGCGGAGTCCCCAATGCGAACAAAGACGATCGCTCTGGGTGCGCGGGACTGAGACAGGGTGAGCCTGAGCGCGAGTAAGTCTGATTGTGAATGTGTCTGCGTGCGAATCAGTCTACGTGCATCAATGTCGACGCCCATGTCGGCACGCCCCTCACGAGGATCGCGCCCGCTTCCTTTCCCTTCTTTTTCTGCCTCTTTGCCCGCGCGCGCCGATGTCCATGGCTGCGGGCGCGGCGCCGCGCTGAGCCCCCGCGACGCACGCCGGTCGCCCCGAAGGGGCCCCGGCGACGCGCGCGGGTCGTCCGCCGCGCGGAGCAGAGAGAGCGCTAGCTGGCTGGGTGATAGCGGGCAAGACTGTGGCCGCTGGGCAGAGCGACGACGGGGGCGAGCGAGGCTCTGGGCAGAGCGCAGCGCGGAATTCCCGCGACGCGCGCTGGTCGCCCCGAGAGGGTCCCAGCGACGCGCGCGGATCGCCCGCGGCGCGAGGCCAATCAGTCAGACCGTCGAGAGACGGCGAGTCTCGGGCGGGCCGCTCCTCAGGTCAAGCCTCGCGGATAAACTCGGTGAAGCCCATCTCCCTGGCGAGGGCCGTCGCCTCCCTTCTGCGCCGCTTCGTGCGCGCCGCAAACTGCTCCAGCTGCTTCCGCAAGCCCTCTGGCGGCCCTGCCAGGAAGAAC